GTAAATGTTGCCGAAGAGTGTGAGATACAAGCCCGCGCTGAACACGGAGGTGGCGAGATGCGTTATGTTTCAAGCAGGCAAGAGAATGATCCGTTTGTTCATTCAAAATTGCCACGCGAGGCTACACAAATACCGCTAGATAATAGACCGTGATAAGAGCAAATGCTATGAGCTCATGGGTAAGGACAGTACAAAACTGCTTAAACAGAAAATGCTTGAACGAGCCCACGACGAACAAGCAATTCATGAAGCGGCACTGGGAAACAAATTCCACAAAGTGCACAATCAAACGTTATCCAGAGAATTACAGGAAAAATATTGCGGGTGCTAAGGCATGAAGCCTCATTCAGCATATGTGATGCCAAACCTTCCCAAATGGTTGCTGTAGTAGAGTCAATTATCAGCTAAACAGAAGCGACGGACGAAGCACAGATCCTTATACGGTACCGAGTGTCATCCTCCTCATGACTAATAGACCACGCGACGCTCTCTCCAAAGTCGAACTAATGCACGTTAGGAATTCAGAGCCGACGCTGACCTCGTTATCGTGCCTTCGGACAATAGGACTGCACTATCCTATTGAATAGGACAGATTACATGTTAGAGGGCCGTCAGTCATACGTATCATGCAAATCCATCCCGATGAAAACAGCAACGCCCGAGATCGCAGCAACGCTGTTGGCAATGGGGAGCTCAGGTGCAATATCACCCATCAGGCAAAGCATGGAGAGAGCGCAAGAGACGTATCTGGCCCGCTTCTATGGTCTCCCAGAACTGCACAAAGTGGGCGCACCCCTCGGGCCAATCGTATCTCCCAAATGAGCTCCAATCCATGGACTGGGAAAGTGGCTGTTTCGACGGTTCTAATTTTCACTGCTGATTCGGACACAACAGTCAGGCCGTCAACAAAATTCTTGGAGGAACTTAAGGCGGTTGGCGTCCTACCAAACGGCGTCACGGTACTTTTGATGTTGCCCCCTTTTTACTTCTATTTCAAAGGACCATGCAATCGAGGGCACCCAATTACTCCTTCGACACAAGAATAATGAAACAGGAAATCACCTCGGACACACCTATTACCTAGATTTCCAGAAATTCTGTCTCAAGATGTATTTTACCTTCAACGGCACAATGTGCGAGGAGGCGAAGGGCACGCCCCCGCGGTCGACAGTTTCCGGACTCATTGCCGAGGCGGTCTTGGAATGTCTGACTCGCTGTTTTTCCGACACGAGGTACTGAAGTTATGGGCTCGGTATGTGGACGACACCTTCATCGCAAGTGAGCGGGATCAGGTGCTGACACTCATGGAAAGTCTAAACACCGTCTTCCAGGATATCACATTTACGATGGAGAAAAACAAACAGCTAGCCTTTTTCGATGCCCTCATTTGCCGCAAAAATTGTGGTGGCCTAAAAAACTAAGGGGAAGTGATCAACACTCTGCAACTCCTAGATGTCAACAGCAACAACCCGATCAGTCGCAAAGACCGATGCGTATGATCGATATTTGCCGCGCGTCGAAACGAATTACAGCAAAGTGAAAGACAACGTCGCTGAATTGAAATAGCTTCGTCGACTACGAGAGCGAATGGTTGCCCGCGCAATTTTTCCAACTAGTGCATAAGTAGACGAGACAAGAAATCAAATCCAATCGGCCTAAAAGTTTGACTAGCTCTTCCGTACGTGGAGAATATGTCGGAACAGTCAGCTCTCCCTTCACTTCTTTTGGAGTTGTGCACAGACCGGAAGCAACCATCAGACGCCATTCATGTGACCGAAAGACCCACTACCACAGCGGGAAATGACTAGAGCCATTTATCGATTTAATGCAGTTATGGACAAAGCAACTACGTATGAGAAACCAGGAGATTACTCCGGAGGCGAATGGCCGAGTGCAGCAGTGGTGAGGAATGCCGCTAACTCGCAAGTTGCAGCTCACTCCACGGAACACTGCCATAGTTTAAAGTTTAACGAAAGCGAAATCCTCGCAAGAGGTGATAATCGCATCGGCCGCGAGCTGCTCGAGTCACGGTTCTCAGCTCTACAGTCAGTCAACAAGCACAAAGCCTTGACGTTTCCATACCCCGTACCGAGATATTCTCTGAGGAGGAGAAGCAGTCACGTGGGAACGGCTGGGCCAATCAACAATTCAGACGAAATCGAACATCATTGTCGAGTAATATTCAAACACGCATCAAACACGGATGACTAAATCGCGGCAATTAATGACTCGAAGGCGGACTGTCAAGCCATCACCGGACCAATTACGACTTCCAGCAGTGTTTATGAGGGCTAACTGTGCACTTGCGGTTGAGTGACCATTATGAACTATAAATACTGCGTAATCTGCGCATGTATCACCTCATTCTATGGTTGCTTCTGATGAAGGGTTCTCGACAGAAACTGAAACGTCAGGCAAATAAACTTCTTCCAGCGATCGCATCTTTTACTTCTGAGCTGTTTCCTGAAATAGGCCTATTTGCTTCTATCGGCAATTTCCTAATACCCGGCGAGCGAACTTCTGCATATTCACCTACTAGTTGCTATCGTCTGTATGTAACAAGATGTTAAGATAAGGTTAGTTCTTTAAGCATTCCAATCGGTCGCCTCCCGTTTCAGACCTCTTCAATATCCACCTACGCTTTTACTTGTTCCTCTGAAAGAGGTTATGTTGGTCGAACAACGAGACGCATTTCCAGGCGGATCCAGGAACACCAGCTTGCCTGGCCAAACCGAGACATAGTAGAATCTGTTTCTAGCGTAATTTTGGGCTCACAGGGTTGACAGCGAGTTGAAATCAACGGAAAGTGCTGATGAATAAATCCATCTTTGTGGTTCAGCGGGTATATGTCACGGCAGATGCAGTCGCCATACGGTTAACGGCAGCAAGGCC